TTTTTTTTGCTGCAATATTTTGTTGGATTTAAAAAAAAGAAAAAATGACAAAAAATGAGCCATAATTTATAATTTTTTTTTTATGGTATTGTTTAATACTACAAATATATATATATATATAAATAATAAAAATGAAAATTTATATAATTGTTAACTTCAAAATATTTAATGATATGTTAAACTGAAAATTTAATTAATATATAAAATTATCATTTCATCCATTTGTATTCTTACAAACTTGACAACAAAAAAAAAAAGTATTGGTGACATAATTTGAATGAGAGAAATACCAATGTATCAGCTAAAATATGTTGCTAGATAATGAGAAAAAAAATATCTTTGATACACATAATACCTATATCATACAGTATTCGAAATGAAGTAATCAAAAATGGCGATCAAGGCAATGTTTTATACTCGCTTATACAGTATCAAAAAGAGTCAAAAGTAAAGATCTATGAAATATACATAATATTATCCTATGGTATTGTAAATGAAGTAGTTAGAAGTATATATATTTTTAATAAATATATATAATTTACATTATGTCCTACAGTATTCAGCATCCTAAAATGCAGGAATACTAGCTTACAGTATCGAAAAGTAGTCAAAAACAAAAACCAAATGAATGTATAATACTGTATAAATATTTAAGTTGAAGAAAAAGAAAAAAAATTTAAGTGATGCATATCATTTAACAATGATTAAAAAATTTTGATGCAAAAAAATATATCAGTTAAATTATATTAGACTAGTTCTAAAAATAGCACAATGAATTTAAATTTATAAATTAAAACGAAATATTAAATTGTGAAATATTTGCCTATCTTATCACAATGAATTCATCACCAATGAAAAATAATGATTGAAGAATGGAAATTTTGTCCAAAAATGTCATCCGGCATAAAATTGTCATTCAAAAAGTTTTGCTTCATTTGATCATTTAACCGATTCCATCATTTTCCATTCATATCATTCCAACAAATTACACAAATGGAATGAAATGAGCGCAAACAAAAACATTTTGCTTCTTTTCATTGAAATAATTAAATCCAAAAATTAACAAAATTTTTTGCTTTTTTTTTTTTATATTTTTAAAGAAATGATATTTCAACAAAATACTAATAACAACTATTAGAAATACACCTGGATATAAATTTTTCATTCCTTTTTCGTATTAATTTTATTTTTTTTTTAAAAATTTTATAATTTTCAATAAAGATTTCTATTACTAAGCTTATGATTATTGATTTCGAAAAGTTTTTATTCTGTTTTTTTTTATTCCGTTCCGTTTATCTTTTCCGCTTATCCTTCCGCATACATTTTTTTCCCGATAATATTTCAGAAGCCATTATCTCTCTTTCATCATCTTTCGTTTGTTTTTTTTTAAATTTTATGATTAACAAATTTTATGCTTTTTTTTGTACCTTTGATATAAATTTAAATAAAATAATTTGTTATTTCATTGGAAGAAATATTTGATAAAGTGGAAGCTTATGGCTTAAAGAGATTTAAGCTTATGACTTAAACATAAAGCTTATCTCTTTCATTATCACAAATATTCTAACAAATATAGATATCAATTAATTTTCTTTCGAAAAAAAAGGAAAAAAACAAATGCCATTAATTTTTTTTTCCTTTTCCTTCTTCATCTCATTATACTATGCATATTTAATTAGTTTTATTGTACTCATTTGTTTATTAAATATTTTTTTTTTTTGAATAATTTTAAGGAAGTATTAAATTTGAAAGTTCATCAATTAATTAGATTTAAAATGAAGAATGCAAGAACTTTGTAATTAAGCTTGAAATTAAAATTCAGGAGCTAATCAATTTCTAAGCATATGATTTAAGAATTAATTTGCTGATACTGATATCATCATTTCAAATTAACTGATATCATCACTTCAAATTAACGGTGAAAAGAAAGAATTCAAGAATTGATACCATTTTTGGCAAAAAAAAGGTGATAATTTCGATTTGCATACTATCATTTGATAATAAAAGTTATTAGCTAAAGATTTTAATACATGTCATCAAAATTTTCCACATCCAACAAAACAATGGTTTTAAAAAAAAAATGGGAGAACCAATGTTGACAAAGATATCCAATAAAATTATTAAATGACAAATAAAATATGAAGTAATAGTGCAAAACAATAATAAACAAAGATAAGTAAACAAAGAATTTCAAAA